GAGAAATTTAATATGCCTGTGCATGAACTGAAAAATAGTATGCACTTTTGTATATAGAAAGCTGGGGTGGAAACATTTGAAAACTACCAGTATATTAAAAAGTATAGTGCAGGCATGTCAAATTCGCGACGTCACGTGACGTTGCGTGACGTATCGGAGCTTTTTCGCCATTGCCGGCAATGGGGTGGGCGCGGCTCTGGTATGATGAAACCGGCCCGCGGGCCGGCAGTTTGACACCCCTGGTATAGTGGATAAGCATAAGCACTCAGTTTGAATTGATGTGGAGAATTAAATGTGTTCTTTACTAATTACTCTAGAAGTTCAGTATTAAATCTTAGTATTTAGCAATTTATGATAGTCCTGGAGAAATAATTATAAAAACAGTACAATTTCTCCCAGGTGAAGAATGCTTTCTCCAACCTATAGATTTCTTACAAATCTATAGGAATAGCATTATTTGTGTCAAATATGCAATCGGCATCTTACTACTAAAGTTGTGCAAAAGCTACATACAGGTAGTCCTTGACTGATTTATTTATGTTAAATTTATTTGACACCTATCTCTCCGTGGGGCTACTGTAGGCAGCTTACAACAATAAAAAGGAAGTAATGAAAAGAGTGTAAACAGAAGATAAAAGAACAACAAAATAAACAATGAAAAAGAACACAAGATTACATCAATATAACCAAAAAAGATGGGCGGGTGGAAAGTAGAGAGCGGGGTGGTGATGGTGGTGTCTGCCATCAATCCAGCAGCCACCTCCAGCATGGAACTCCCCCATTTGGACCCCAGGCCAACCAGCAGAGCCAAGTCTTTAGGCTCTTGCAGAAGAATAGGAGGGTGGGGGCAGATTTTACCCTAGAGCAGGGGTGTCAAACCGCCGGCCCGTGGGCCGGTTGCATCATGCAGAGGCTGCGCCCACCCCAGCTCCAGCAATGCGAAAAAAGTCACGATACATTGCGACACGTCACGTGACAAGTTTGACACCCGTGCCCTAGAGCAGTGGTTCTCAACCTTTTTAATGCCGCGACCCCAACCGGTCGTAAGTCGAGGACTAAACCGGTCGTAAGTCGAGGATTAAACCGGTCGTAAGTCGAGGACTAAACTGGTCGTAAGTCGAGGACTACCCAACCGGTCGTAAGTCGAGGACTTTCCCTGCCCGGGAGCGCCGCGCATGCGTGGTTCCGCCCCCTGCACTGGCCGAGGCGTTGCTGGCAAGCGGCAGAGATGGAGCAGGCCGACCACCAGCTGGCCCAGCCCAAGGGAGGTAAGGCACCCGCCGGAAAAGGGGGAAAAAATGGCAGACAAAAAAATGGTGGACAAAAAAAATGGCGGACAGCCTTGCTTGGCGACCCCCATGAAATGGTCGATCGACCCCAAATGGGGTCCCGACCCACAGGTTGAGAACCACTGCCCTAGAGGGTAAGATGTTCCAAAGGGTGGGCGCTGCAGCAGAGGAGGCTCTTCTTCTGGATCCTGATAGCTGGAGTTCTTTGGTGGGATCTGAAGTAGGCCCTCTCTGCCAGTGCGAGTCAGATGGGCTTGTCCTACCTAGTGGGACAAGGCGGTTCATCAGGTAGCCTGGTGATGTGTATAAATTTCCATCTGATAGGAAAGCCCAGTGAATAAAAAGTAGAACCAGGAATGTTTCTAGTACTGAATGGCCTTCAAGAATTGCACAGGAAGAAAATGTTAAGAGATTATGTAAACTTCAGAATATGGCTCAGACCACCAAGACGTTTAGATCAAAAGCCAGAGCATCATGCTTAAATGTGAAAAATAGATCTAGGCAGGTTTTCCCCATTATCCTAGCCCACTTCTGTTCTCCTTTTTCCCATGGCCACCCCAGTCTCAACAAAATGAAAAAAGTTGTGTTTCAGGCATTTGATTTTTGGAAAGAAAGGTGTTTTTTGTCATTTTGTTGTGTACACAGTATACAATGTGAGTTTTACATATTGAGAGAAAAAACATCTCAGACAATAATAATGAACAATAAAAATATATAGGAACATTCAATAATACAGAACACAAATCCCACCTTGAGGCGCGAACAAGATACACAGAAATACACATTGTAAAAAAGGGGGGCTTTCAAGATCCAAATACAAGGGTGGGTGGCAGAGGAGGAATGTCTCTTTTTGTCACAGGAAATTGGGTTGTACGTGTGTGTGTGTGTGTGCATGCGTGTGTTGTGCTTGTCCTTGTTTAACTCAAAGCTGGGCCTGTCCAATTCTGGGTGCTCAAGTTTGGCTACTCTGTCCCTCCAACCGGGAGCAATGGATTAGCAAGGCTCTCCATGGGATTGGTGGTGCAAGTCTATTGTCCCAAGAAGTGCCAAGGCTTTAGGTCCCTCTAAAATTAACCCTATACTATGAAAGATTCCCCTCAACTCATTCTCTCATTTCCCCAAACCCATGTTCAGCTAACCCCACTTCCACACACAGCTATCTGTCATAATCCACCACTTCTAAGGCCAAACAGCTATCAGTAACCTGGTTTATTAAGGAAAGCTGTTTTTTAAAAAGTCTAAATTGTAAGTTTTAAAATACTCAAAAGAAACCAGGCCACTCTTCCCTTTAAATCCATTCTCTTTGATTAGGGCTCATTCACCAAATTCTACCCACCCCCCACGCACACTCACGTACACACTTGCCAACCTCTATTCATCCACAATAAATAAGAAGTGGAGAAAGGGAAAAAATGAGATTCACCAGTATCTGTTCATACTTTAGTGACATTAACCTAAGTAACCAAACATGTTTTAACATATTTCCATGTCCTTCAGAGATTTGCTTGAACTAGTTCTCTGTGATGAGACCACTAATTCTGAGACCACCAATTCTGAGGTGGGATTTATTTTCCCACCATCCCTGAAGTACCTTTTCACATCTCCCTCCCCATTACCCAAAATCTGAAAAGTACATTGGGGCAACTCCTGTAAATCCTATTGATTTGGGCAGGTGGAAAGAAAGCAGGAGTCTTGGAAAGACCAAAGTTATAAGAGCAGAAGGAAAATTCAAATGGAGGAATGGTTATGGTTAATGAGGAAGGAAGAGCAAGGTTCTAGAGGAGATGGGCCATCAATAAAGGATGACTTGATGGGGGATAAAAATCAAATTTACTTATTTATTCATTCAATTTACATAGCCAGCCATCTCAAACAAGTGACTCTGGGTGGTGAATGTGGAAGAGGAGGAAATAGCAATGGAGGAAGAATGAGGTAGACTTTGGCATGGAGATGGGAATCTGACATAGGAAGATCTACATTCAAGTAAGGGATTACTTTGGGAGGTCAGCAGAAGATCTGGGGTGAGGAACGATGATGGTTGACCAAAGCATGCGATTGATGTAATTGGGAAGGTTACTGGGAGGGGAGGGTGCAGACACACGCAAGATAATGGATAGCTGGATAATAGGTGGACAGCCCACCTGAGAATTGAAGAAAGGGTAACTAAGACAAGGTCTTCATCCTCTAGCTCATCAGAGTTTATCATTTCAGTTTAGGTTTGGAAAGGGAGCTTTGTTTTGGAGGCAGGATGCGGTAGGAGACACAAAATCTCCCTTCCCCCCTCAATAACAATAATGATAAAAAAAAGTAACCTAATGAAAATTTCAGTCAAAACCAAAGAACATCACAGCTACAAGTGAATGGAGAAAGTGAGAGCAACTCCTGCGCATCAATAATTTCAAGTTAGTCAAATACAATATGATACATAGACTTTTTATCTTATACAGTATATACAGTTTCAGGGAGGGGGAAGCAGAATTCTGCCTTTTCAGACATAATATGTGGAGAATGGGGAAAAATAATAATAAAAAATCCTCCCTCATAGAAGTGCAGATCTACCACGGGGGAAGGGACTTATCTAAATCCCTCTATACGTTCCTCCCATTATCCAAGAGTTTGTGTGTGTGTGTGTGGGGGGGGGGCAATTGTGAAATCTGGGGGAGGAGAGGGGAATTTCAGGAAGTCTTGTTATAGTCTTGACAGATTGCTATAGATGTCACTAGGCTCTCCCCTGCCCATTTACTGCTATCTATTCAGAAAGTATAGGGAACTGTTCCACATATCCAAATGAGCTAGAATCACCCAATTCAATGGCAAAAAAGTGAATCCTCCAGCAGCAATTGTGCCATGCAAACACAAGGGGAGGGAGGGAGGGAGAGAAAGGGAGGTTTCTCCAGAAAGGGAGAAAATCGGTGCTACCATTTATGATTGGGAACAAGCTTGGCAATAAATATTCTTGTTGGAAGCAAAAATAGAAGTGATCGTCATTAGTGTATGGATGGATGGCTTCCCTTCACTCCATTTATTTGGCAAAGATGGGATTAGAGATGTTGGAGAGCAGGGGTCATATTTCCTGATCAGACTATGGATAAAAGGAGCTAGACACTGTATAAAGAATGACCAGTGCACCATCCCCCCATGCTCAATTCTCAGCTCTCCATAAGGAGAAGTAAAGGTTCTTGATGGAAGAGATGTAGGGTAGAACCTCAGAAGACCCTGGTCCTTCTCTTTTCACCAATCTCACTGCTGTCAACTCACTCCATGGTGAGAAATCAAGAAGCCTTTTGGCTCAAAATCACACATCGTCATTTCTCTGACTTTCCAATGGGTTCCCCTATTCTCAACCCCCACCCTGAGCAAGGGGCAAGGCTGTTCAATTAGGTATTTATACATTTATATATAAATAATATTTCCCTGTACAGCCAGGGCAAAAGGGAAAGGGCTGTTCCAACCATCCAATTATTTGATGAGAACCTTCCTAAAAATGTCCTGTCTGCCACTGCAAACCTCCACCCTCCACCACAGCACAGGCTTGTCCCATGTCCTGTTTAAGGAAAAAGAGAAACCCCCAAGGAGAAGGGGTGGTGGTGGTGAGCTGAGTCTGGACTTGTTGCCTGTATTAGTACCTCTCGACTTTCCTCTTCCCACTTCTTGCTCTGACTCTGCAGAGGGGCAGGCATTAGGCAGCCCCTCCCGGGGTGTGGCTCTGATGATGGTGTCACACACATTTGCTTTGAGCCTGAGTCAGCAATTTGCTGAAGGAGTCAAACAGTTTCTCCAGCCATGGCTGGTTGCGCATGCACTGCTGCACCACCTCCTCCTGGCCCAAGTCTTCGTTTTGACTCTCAATTGCCATTGTCTGGAAAAACAGGAAATGAAAAGGTTGAAATATTAGCCATGAAGCCACACAGGTGGCTCTGTCAAGAAATCCACAAGTAGCCAGAACTGATTAGTCTGTATTTGGGGCCAAAGCTAAAAAAACATCACTAAAGGTCCTGAGACTTTTTAAACATGACAGCATTCTGTATTTTTAATGAGCTTCAAAAACTGCAGCTTATTTACAACTCTACTTCTACATATTAGTGACGTAGGTGTAGAGCAGCGGTTCTCAACCTGTGGGTCGCGACCCTTTTGGGGGTCGAACGACGCTTTCACAGGGGTCACCTAAGACCATCGGAAAACACATATTTCCGATGGTCTTAGGAACCGAGACACTAGTGAGAATTTCTGCTCAAGGCTAGCTCCGCCAGCCAGCTCGGGCAGACAGGAAAGCAGCCACCTCAGCAGCATGGCGGGGCTGCGCTACCCATCGCAGAGCAGCTACTGCCGCGTCGCCACGGCTATGAACCTCCTGCTCGGCATCTTTCAGGTCCTCTTGCCTGGCTTCCGTCTGGGAGAAGCGCAGGGCCAAGGTAAAAAAAAAAAGCCTGGCGAAATACTCCCGAGGGGTAGCGTCGATCTGTAGCGGGAGGTGAAGGGGG